AGTCTCCTGCCGGAGTTCAGCTGGGAGGTGTTTAATCATTCACCCTACAGCCCGGACCTCGCTCCCAGTGATTTCCATCTTTTCCTACACCTCAAGAAATTCCTGTCCGGTCAGCGTCAGCGTTTTGAGAATGACAGAGAGGCGGAGATGGTTGTCACACAGTGGTTCCAATCCCAGGCGGCAGACTTCTACGACACAGGTATTCAAAAGTTGGTCCCACGGTATGACCAATGTCTCAATTCCGGTGGCGAATATGTTGAAAAATAGATGGACACTTGCTGTATCTGTTGCAATAAATATTTCCATGAAATTGTGTTTTGTTTCTGTAAACGGCCCCAGGGAAACTTACTTTGAGGACGCGCCTCGTAACTAGGTTATATAGCACAGAACGACGGGATGATTAATGAATAATGAACTGGAAGGGATAATGAAGGAAATTATCGTGACATAATTAAAGGTAATATCACAGCACTTGCCTTGAGAGATTATGGCAAACCTCGAGATCACTCAGTCAGGATGGCCGGCCTCCGCAACAAGATTTTAACCTGGGACTTGTCAAACACAAAGGAAACAGGAGTGTTAACCATTCGACGGCGACGTCCGGTTTTAACGACAGGCTACATAACCAGGGTTCATTTCCATTCAAGAATAAGGAGTTTTCACTTCTAGATGGACACCGAGGCTCACCCAAGCTTCGCCAAAACAGAAGCCCTTTTCGTGGTGTAATAAGCGCGGAACCTAAAGCTAACATTTCTCCCCATCCGATGTTAAGAATACGTTAAACTGTAATTCCATTTAACAGCAGTATACGTTCTTTATCTGGTGGTTTAGCAAGAGGGAAATTTTATACGTTGCATTTCTTCCATAATGTTTATACATCTTTCGGATTTAAGACCAACTACGTTTTACCTTCTCATCTGTATTGACAGAAGAAAAGTCATTTGTGGTGATTTACGATCCTTCGCCTTAAAAGACTTGCTGATGACAGATCATGAAAATTACGATTAGCAAATGGGGCACAGCGTAACAAACCGCTAGACACCAATTCCTACCCTGCGTCACATAAATCCATGAAGTAATGTAGGTGATAACCAACGTTTTAATGAAAAGTAATAGCCGCCTACAAGCCTACTCTGTGTCATAACCCAGAAGACCACTATTAGCATATTGATAGCCGTGAAACCCCCAAATTTCATGCATAAATCATATACGAATACTCACACCCTACATTTTTCTTTGAGGTACGAACCTATTTACGATATATTATTCACATTTTTACCATGTTTCTCGAATGATTACGTTCTCTACGTGGGAATGAATGTTGTCCACAATGACACAACGTCCAAACTAAATACAATCGAAATCCATCCAGCGGTTATCGATTTTATCATGCAAACAGATAGACATGTCCAGCCATTTAACTATAATTTCATGCACATCGTCCTAATAACGCATAATAATATGACTGTAACAGAATGAGTTGTATTGGATTGAAGTTAACGGTATTTAGATTTGGTGTAATGAACAGCTTTCGTTTTAGAGATATTTGGGTTGAAGTACCTATTTCATGACGAAGCGTTAATGATCATAATAGTGTCATTATGGATAAATTCAACTGTACGAAAAAACACAGTTGGCACAGAAAGTCTTACTTCCAAGATATCATTCAGCAAAAGAAAGCTGCGTGGTTTCTTAGCAGGAGATGGAAACATGTATGTTACAATAATCTGAAACATATGGGAAAACTTTACCTTAACTTTCTTATATATTGTTTTACGAAACAAGTCCAGCGAAATTGATCAGAACGTCATAAACAGAAACTACTTTAAATAGGCAGCAGTCTTGAAACGTCTATAACTTTGTACTGTCCTTTAAGTCAAAACAAATAAACAAAAGGAGTCTTTATATCAGTACAACGAGAAGGGGAATAAGAAGAAGCACTACTGTGCTGTCATCTCTCACTATTCTTTTATCTTTGGCACTTGGTGAAGTAGTCGAGTGGGAAATTAAGTGTTCTGGGACATTTCTTTGGTCAGTGGGATAGCACGAGGAGGAAGAAGGCAGTAATTCAACTACAGTCTCTCTGCTACTCAAGTAATTCTGTTGAGTAGCTAAGTCCGTTGGTCAGACGAGACATGAAGAAAGAAGTCAAGCCACTTTTCTTTTCTTTTCTATTCTTTCCTGTTTTCTTGAAATTGCTACAGTCTGGGAAAGGATTGGATTCAACTGTTTGCTGAAGTGACTATCCAAGAGTGAAAAGAAAACTAATTCTACTCTGTTATACAATTGAAGTGAATCTGAGAAAAAATACACAGAAATCTATTAGGATCAACAAATCAGAATTCTCTGATGGCTTACTGTCAGTTTCACCTTTATGGTATGGAGAGTTATTCAGCTAATTTCAACACGTTGTTTTATTTTATTGTGACTACCCTTATAGAAACGTCAACCATTAAATAGTTTACAAATGACTGGTCAGAAGGATGCCCTGAAACTTCATGAAAGCAATTTGCAGATTTGAATGTTACATATTAAAATACAATATCTCCACTACACTTTCGCAAGGCGTATAATACCTGGTTGAAAAGAGTCATTTTAATTTCCGTTTCCCACTTCTTCATCACAATCCTCTTCATTTTACCGGCGAGCATTTTGAAGGATGAAGTTAATCTCGTAATCGATGACAAGGGAAAAATTTCGAATGCAAATTATACAATGTACAATTTAAATAAATGTTTTCCTTTAAAGTTCATAATTTCCTATACACATAAATGCCCAAGAAACTAATTATTCGCTAAATATTATTGTCCAGTCATATTATTCATAATGTTATTTGGCGAGAAAATAATTTATTTTGATAATGTTTAAGGTAATCATGCAAATAAAGATGATTTTACAAATATCCACGATTAAAACAGTGTGTTTACAACATTAAGATTTTTTGTTATTATGAAATGGGTAATGTCTATATTTTTATTTAACAGTTAAATTTGGGCGTCCAAATTTAATTTATTAAGGATGGCTTTCTTCTGAGTAGTCTGGTAGAAGAATTTTTCTACCAGACTTCATGGCGCAACAACCCAGAAGACAGGCATCTTCAGACTCACCGCCGTGCAAACATCAAATCCTACTTTGAACTTACTAAATTGGTTTACAAAATAATAAACCTGTTCTCATATAAATTAATAATAAAAACTCATCAATACTGACAATGCTACGACACATCTGAGGTACTGTAACAACGATATAAAGATGTGATTGAAACAGGCGAACTCGACAGCATTTTTAACGTACAAATCTGAAGGGTAAGAGTTGATTTATGAGAAACAAAGAAAGGCGTACAGAAGCTGATCAATATGGAAGCCAAGACATAATTCGAAAAGAATTACGTCTAGAAACAAAGGGAATCGACATTACAGCCGAGGGGAAGGCGAGGGTTTTACTACCATCTGCACACGAACAGAAAACACTTCGAATTTCTGTTGTGTAAATCGAGAATGAAAGACGTCGTGTCGATTCGTCTAAGAATCTAATTTCTTGCCACACAGTGGCTCTTAATTCCATAATGGAAGAGACAGAACCGCTTGCGAATAAATTGTATTAACAATAAACAATTCACTGAGCTTTGTATTCCGTTCGTGTTTTCTTTAACAGCTCACAAAGACAGTGAGACGTATTTCGGTCGAAAGTATAATAAGTACAAAACGAATAATGACTCTTGGAAGTGATGCACTATAACCTGAAATTATACATTAATAGTAATCGGTAGAATGATGATGTTGATAAAGCGTAAAACAAATTTTACGAAACTTGCATTTTATATTGTATGACGAACAAACTAACTCGAAGAAAACAGCCCCTCTTGTGAAGCTGACAGTCGCTTAGATCGTCAACAGATTCTCTCTTTTTTATCAAAGCCCGTTTTCATTAACCCGTATCTATACTAAGTCAGATGAATCCAGTCCACACCCTCTCAATATATTTGACCAATATCCATTTTAATATTATAATCTATATCATCCGAGAGATCTATTCCAATCAGAATTTACGAAAACCGTGTACTCAAAATTAGAATATATATTACATTATTTTTAGTTGCTTTTGCAACGCTGCGGAACGTGTATTATAAAAAGAT